TTTACGGTGCATTTTTTTTTTTTTTTTTTTTTTTTTTAATTAATAATAAAATGGCATATTTTGTAATTTTGGCCATGAAAAATTGAGCGCTAAAAAAAGCATAACAAATAATTAAAAACAGAAATACATTGATTTATGGAACTTAGAAGATAACCAAAAAAAAAATATTGAAAATATTGACTAATATGACAATGACAATTTTACCCTCAAAAGTAATAAATCTATCGAAAAAACAGTAAATAATGTTCGTTACTATTGATTACATTATTTGTCTCCTCCTTGGTTCGTTAGCTCGCTCCATTACAAACTAGAGACTTTAAATTTGTGGTCATCATTTATCAACCCTCGATCTATTAAAAGTAAGAGTATTAGGTTATATTATTTCGAGAAATAGCTCTTTAATTTTTATTTTTTTTTAAATATTAACGTCGAGTCATACTTTACCCAAGTTTTAAACCGGGGGCGTTAATGAAATGGGTGTTTTAACATATTTTAAAAAATACCGAGGGCATAATTGTAATATAACATCACGTGCACTGCTATCTTATCCGTTACTGCCACTGTCATTTTTTTCATATCCGTTCTGATGAAAGTTTTTGAACGATGTGTTTTTTTTTATATAATTTATCAATTTATTATATGTGGTATTGTTTAATATTAATTATATTTATAAATACGATCATACTTAGTTGGATAATAAATCCCGCCAATTAATATGTGCAATTATTTAAAAATAAATAAATAAATAAAATGGTAAATATGTTTTTTTTTTTTTCTTTCCCTTAAAAACTGGTTTAGATAAGCCTGGATTTTATACGGTAAGGGCAGTTGCACTTTAAAACTCTAAGATCAACCAATACGACTCCGTCTTCTCTTTGGCGCACGTCGAGAATCGTCTTCCTTCACAGTTCCAATTCCAGCTCCCAGATCCCGCTGATCTCAATCTCCTGCTCCTGTTTCCTCTGGCATCAATCCATCTATTCAGCTCTCCACTCCATCACTCTCTGCTACGAAGAAATCAGCGGCGGGAAACGATTCCTGCACCTTCTGCGAAGGTTTCGCGATGATCGTTGCACGGATTAATGTGATCTGAGGTAGTTTTTGATCAATTAAGCTCCATCAGGTAGTCCTGTAAATCCTAGTGTAATCTATACGAATTAATCAATATGAATGTTTACCTTATTATGGTTCAGTTTACCTTATTATGGTTCAAATTTCTTGTAGCTTTCATTTTTTTTTTTAGAACACAGAGATCACCGCTGGCCTTGAAGCTTACTCGGTGGAATTTTTCGTGTTTGGGCTGAAGCATTTCAAATTATTGCCAAACGATGGACAAGTCAAGCGCTTTGGAATACATTAACCAGATGTTCCCCACAGGTTACTCCCTCTGTCACTCTATCTATCGACTGCTCTGTTGTAGGAAACAACATTTGTATTTGGGGGGTGGGGTAATAAGGAGGACGATGAAGAGGTCCGCATTGTTGTGCTTGGACTTCATTTTTTAGACTTAAACCGCCAGTTTGGAATTCACTTTTTTCTTTTTTGTGCAAGAAATGCGATTTTCTCATTGAGAAATGAAAAGATACCAACTAAAGCTTTATACAAAGTAACGTATCAACAAAGTCACCCAAGGCTGAAACTAAGCTCGCTTACAAACATAAAGATTACAAGAAAGCAGTCCAACAAGAATTTAAGCTTAAATTCCGTACTTTTCTTACCTCGAACTAGCAAATAATTTCACACCAATCTTTTATCCCGTGTGCAAGGTGCAAAATTATTTGGTTTTCTTGGTGGATAATTGGTAAAGTATTAACAGAGATCTTTAGAAGATCTTTAGTTAGTTTGTTTAGATGGGCATCATTGAAGCATCCATGAGCAAAACACCTATGTGTCTTATTTCCAAGAAAGGGAGGGAAAGGAGGGTGAAATATTTTAGACTGATTAGTCTGGTAACTAGCATGTAGATCATTGCTATGGTCTTTGCTGATTGGTTGAAAAGGGCTTTTCTTTTCTGATTTGTGTCTCAAGGTGCTTCTGTTTTTGGAAGACAATTTTTTTGTATGAGTAATCGAACTTTCATTGAGAAAAGATGAAAGAAATCAGGGGGATACATAACAAGAGCCCACAAAAGAGGGATACAAACCACAAAAAGGACTTCTAATCAAGAAAATAAGACCTAATAAACAACTACATAAAGGCTTTGTTACTAAGGCCCAGGGGGATACATAGAATTTAAAAAGGTCCAAACCTCACTTGGAGTTCTTTCAAGCCCTCTAAAAATCATATTGTTCCTCTCGCCCTAAAGAGGACTATATGGTCTATGAGCACTAAAATTGGTAGAAAAAATTTAGATCATGTGCTTATTGTTGTAAGCAAAAAGAGATTATTTCTTAAATAGATTTTGAGAAAACTTATGATCATGTGGATTGGGACTTCCTTGATCACTTATAGGGGAAAAGGGTTTTGGGTAGGGGTGAATATCTTGGATATGGAGCTATATTAAGACGGCGAGGTACTCCTTCTTTATCATCTGGAAACCAAGAGGAAAGGGTGTGGCTAACTGAGTGCTTAGGCAAGGGGGCCCTCCTTCTAATAATAGATGTTTACCCTTCCCTCTCTTTTAGCTGCTGTTGATTGTTTTATCATTTGTTTAGATTGCTTTAAGTGTTAGTTGATTGTTTGTTTTTATATTAGTTTGAGGTTATCAGGATGAATATGAGCTGCTTAGGGTGTTATGGCTGCCTAAAGCCTATAAATACTTGTATTCCTAGTTGATTCTGGGTGATTCTTCATTATTCAAATAACTACTTCAAGATTTACATTACATCCTTTCTCTTCTTACTAATGGTAGATATTCTAAGTAGATTAGTCTCTATTGGTGTGGAAAGAGGGCTATTAAGGGCTATTAAGGGCTTTCAAATAGGGAGGAAGAATCTTTACTTGTCACATCTCTACTTTGTAGATAATACTATTTCTTTTGTATTCGGAGAGAGGTTATTTGTTAATCTTAGTTGTATTATTTATGTTTTTGAGCTCACTTATGGTCTTAAGATTGACCGGTCTTAGAGTGTGGTTCTCAATATTAATTGCAAGTCCTCCAAACTGAGTACTTGAGCCTCTTTAGCTGGTCATGAGGTGTTATCTTCTTTATGCCACAAATTCTAGGGTCTTCTTGCAAGCAGAGGCGTCTAAGACCTTTCATAATTATTAGTAGGTGATATTCTTTAGACAAAAAGTCCTTTTTGTAGGTTGAGGTTCCTCTTATGTGGGTTACTTATTGTATGACCTTGTATCTCCTTTCATGTTTGTTAATGAAAGTTTGGTTTATCAGAAAAAAGAAAACCTTATCGCTGTGAGTAAGAACCTTGAGAAAAGTAAGAGAGATTTTTTGTGGGAAGGGGCTTACAGGGGAGGGGAACTCATTAGATTAGGTGGGACACTGAGTCATGACCGATTAATCAGGGCGAGTTAGGAATCAATAATTTGAGACTTTGTAATGAGGCCATGTTACCTACGTGGTCATGACATTTCCCTTTGAGACATTCTTTCATTTTCTTATTGGAAGCTTGGTTTCTTAACAAAAAAAGAGAGAATTTAGAAATTATTCATTTACCGATATTACTTTTGTTGGAAAGCTTACTTGTAACTGTTTTGAGTTTATTATATTGTCTTAGAAAGTTTCTCGTAACACCCCAGTGTGGGATCATATTTTGAATTATAATGTAGAATAACAGTTTTGAAATAGAAATAGGTCAAAAAAAAAAAAAAAAAAAAAAGAGCCCAAATAATCCTTTCTTTTCGTTAAGTTTTCCCTTTTCTGATTTGTTTGGCATTCTCCAAGTATGCTTTCATCTACATCCAACAGCTCAATGTTTTTCGTTATTCCCCAAACTCTTAGTGATATATTGAATTCGTGAACTTTGGCTGATATTTAGAGGCATCGCTATCTGGTGTGGAGCCACTTATGCAAAAGATACATAATGAAATACGTCGTGTAGATGCTGGAATTTTAGCAGCTGTCCGCCAACAGGTGATGTTTGTTTAATTTTTCCCTGATAGAAAACAAAAGCTTTTATTGCTCTTTTGTTCTCGTTTTCCGTCAAATTGATGTTGGGTACCCTACGTTATGCTCATTCAGTAATTGGGTTCACAATTTAGCTTGATGAGTTTTCCATTTATATGTACACAAGATGATACCAAAGTCAGATCTATTGGTGCTCTTTGATGGAATAAGCTGGACATTTTGGTTGAAATTGGAAAAAGTGTATGCCTCACCTTGGGATATTCAGATCCAGGGCCAATGTTGACAATTTTAGGTAGTGATAGTCAAGCTATTGAAACTCAGATCTTAACTTTGATGACTCAGATCTCGTAGTTCATATGAGGTTCATTATAAGTTTGCACAGTTCTATTTTTCAAACTTTCCTTTCATAGTTATTCTAATGTTATGCAAACCTTGAACAAAGAGGCCTTCGGGTTGGTAGGAATCGTTAGTTCTATCTTTCCTTTTGTTATATTATGATCTCTCTGTTGGGCATAAGTTTATGATAAACCAA